CCCTCCAGGAAGTAGCAGGTGGGCCTCAGGGAATTACCAGAGTCCACTCTCCATTTTCTTTAACTTCAACCAGTGTCGCACTCTCTTGGGTTGATTCTCAGAAGACCCCAGTCGGTTCACTGAAGATTCCAGGCACTGACTCTCTGCTTTGATCTTACATGGAAGGACCTAAATATTGTCCTTTCCCACTGCTGCACCACTGAGGAAAAGACCCGTATCTGGGCACAGGCTCAAACATATGCTGATGGATTACACATTACCCAGCCTCAGCAATACCCTGTGGGCTTGACAGCAGTGCCTCTAATTGATCCCAATTGGGATTATCAGCCAGGCCAGCCTGGCATCACTAGAAGGGACCACATGGTCCTTTGCCTTATTGAGGGAATGAAATGGTGCATAATTAAACCTGTTAACTATGATAAGGTTAAAGAGATCACCCAGGGCCGAGATGAAAATCCAGCCCTATTTCAGGCTCAGTTGGTAGATACCCTCAAAAAGTATACTAATGTAGACCCAAACACTTTTGAGGGACATACTGTATTTGCAACCCACTTTATTAGCCAATCAGCCCCTGATATATGTAGAAAGCTTCAAAAGTTTGCCATGGGGCCCCAAACCCCTCTTAACCTTCTTAATGGCACGGCCTGCAGTGTCTTTAATAGTAGAGACCTGGCTGAGAAGGAAAGAAAGGACCAGCGTGACTTAAGACGGGAGCGACGGCAAGCCAAGCTTCTGGCAGCTGTCATGATAAAACCTAACCCACCTCCTGGCCACCCCAAAAGTACTCCCAGTAGACCCCCACCAGAAAGAGGAGTCTGTTTTGGCTGTGGGAGCCCTGAACACTGGAGCGAGGAATGCCCAGGAAGCCGGTCTCAGCCTCCACCCAAGATGCCATGCCCACTCTGTAAAAAGATGGGCCACTGGAAGAGGAAATGCCCTCAGCTCCGAAGGGAGAGAGGAAGTTCCCCCACACCAGTCAAGGCAGTGGTTGATTGATGGGACCCGGGACCTCCCAATGCTCCTGAGAAGACAGTCATCATCACACAGGAGGAACCACGGGTGACCATTGACGTGGCAGAATACAACAACTTCATCTTCAAATGATGATGCAACAAGGATTCCAACCCATTCCACCTGAAGATAAAGACCATCAACATCCATTGGACAACGCCTCTGCCTCCTTCTACTCCCCACTCTCCATCCCTGCCACTACTAACAATCCCGAAACCCATATCTCTGACAGATAGCAAGGAGGTCTGGGCCCACAGGTAGGGACTACGTCCATATTCAGCTTGAAGCAGTTACAGAAGACTGACC